TGGTTATGACTAACAGTTCGCCATGGTTAAGCCATGGCCCATAGAAATATATAGATGGTTTACCGTTCTTAAAAATGATTACTTTCCAGGGCTATGTTAAATAACCAGATGGTATTTAAGGAAAAACAAGGAACATGTGTGGGTACTTGTAAAACATTAAAACCAGGTTTCCTGAGAAAATATAATTTCCCTCCACCGAATGAAGCCTGTGTCTACCCGCTTGTGGGAACTTCAAACGTTTGCAGGAATGTCCTTTCAACTTTGATATATGTTTTTTTGGTCCACCCAAATTTGTGAGTCCAAAGTAAGATCGACTTGCTGAACATATCAACCTAAAATTGTGTAGAATGATTTGGGGATCATCAATGATGTGGGCAACCACCAGATCGTTCTACCGAGTTTTGAGTTTTATGTAATTAGATTCTGATGTAAACCATCAAATCATGTATCAACAACATTGGGATACTCCAGTATTGATCATCAACCATCACAATTACACTATCAACATCTATCAACATCGACCATAACCCCATAATTAAGCTACCGTATATAAATCCCATTTGGTCAGAGTCTAAATCAAAGTCTATTTTTTCTCATTTTAATGTTTCTCATTTTAATATTTGAACATGTTTGAATTACATATGCAGTATAGATTATCAACATGATATCCCCATGAATTTCCAATTTTAGGAAGTTGTTCTGGAGATTTCGACTTTGGACATGTTTCTGGTCATCAGCGGACCCAGTCGTCCTCATTAACATTTGACCCCCCCAAAAGTTACCCTCTTTTTATCTAACAGTTTGCTATGGAAAATGGTCCCTATATACAATCATATATATATATACACATGTAGATATAATAATATGTTATAATATATTATATAGATAACTTGTGGATTTTATGGATTACTTTAATCAAATACCAGAGGCTAATCAATGATCATAAAACATAAGTCGCCCAAAACATACCTGGTGATGTTCCACTTCGCTCAGGGGCTTCATCCGTATTGGTTTCTCCACCAGCGGCTCCTCCCTGATCCTGGGTGAGAGCGAGGAATACGACTTTTTAGCCATTGGGGGCTATTGGGGGCCGGGATTCAGAGCCTCTCATTGACCTTTTTGAAGATAGCGACTTTACCATACTTTCCCATACTTGACCATAGGTTTTCCCTGAATTTTAATACTTTTGCCGGTGTTTATGTGCATGTTTTTTTTGTTTACGGGGTTTTGTGGCTACTTTGAGTGTCTTGGTATGTATACATAACCCATCATAACCTGGCAAGAAGATAGACGTTACTAAAGTCCTACTTACATTCAGGGGAAGCAATCCCTGGTCGTCGCCGATTACTTTAGTAACTATCTTCTAAGTGGCAGGGTTTACATAGCACATATTACCCCGTTGTTATATCTATAATCCCACTATTATTGAGTGTACCTATGACATGGAGTTCACCATAATATGGCGCAGATGAGTTGTAGATTTGTAGCACACCAGGCTTAGATTCATCGTGACGCATCGTGACCCGCAGGAGTCTGTTTGGTTTGACAACAACGGCCTGTTCAGTGCTGGCAAGACAAAGGCTCCCAAGACTCTTGGACTCGGAGCATCTGTTCTTGGGATATCCATCTTATCATCCTGTACATTGATCAATGGCCTATTCAGGTACCTAGGTACCTAAAATTGAGGTACGTAAACGTACCATATTGTTGGCCATATTTTCTGGGGATATTCCCTGAAATTTAGGCCTAAAACATAGACCTTATATATGGTAGGCACCTCCAATTTAGGAACGTGAAATGGCCATTGAATTGATGAATATCATGTTTATATAATGTTAAATCTAGGTTACAACAGATATTCAAGACAAGTGTTATCATGTGTATGCATACCCATACACTGACATGATCATACAAAGATGTATATAGATTTGTTTTTCATGTATACAATATATACCATGATGGGTACCCTCTGGTAAACTAACATAGCTATGGAAAATCACCATTTTTCATGGGTGATTTTCCATAGCTATGTTAGTTTACCATGATGGGTCAACTAACATACATGTGGAACACCCCTGGTTTCCCTTTCGGAACATGATCTACATTCACGGTGGGTAAACTGCACATCTATAACGTATAAAAAGGACAGTAGATGCAACTACATCCCACATGATTTCCCCAAATTTTCCCTAATATATATATGTATATATATATATCCCATTAATGTTTTTTTTCCATATGTACAATTTATTTCCCAAGTGATTTCCCCTAAATATCCCATTTATAGATGATTTTCCCATTAAAGCCTCCATTGATCAGGCTTTTTCCATGGCGAAGTGTTAGTACCAGATGGTACATCCCACATGATTTCTCCAACATATTCCATTTTAGACACACAAATTCTCCTCCCCAGGACATTTACCAAGTTGAACAAGGATCAGGCGGGTTCAGCTGTAGCCAGCTGGATGGATCACGGCCTGGATCCGAAAATCACATGGATGACTATTATGGGTACCCCCATGACTTTGGAAACCTCCATGTTACCCTCTGGTAATGACTAATAAAAAGCTATTGAAAATGACCATGGAAATAGTTGAAATACCCAAAAAAACGTGATTTTCCGTAGTTATGTTAGTTTTCCAGAGGGTATGTACTTATGGGATGTGTATGGTGATTCAAATGTGTCCAGATGTTGTGTTTGTGCGTCTTTATGCATGAGATATTTCAATACCTTGACGATCCCTTCAGTGTCTCGAAATGTTTTGTTCTGTCATGAGGAGGAAACAAATCTTTCCTGAGCGACTAAATTGACCTGCGGACACACATACACAATTTGGTTCACTAAAGCATTGAATATTGAGTTGCAACTTGAGGTTTTCTGACTCGAACATTTGCATTCTAGAGTTTTTCAGTTGGTAAGGATGTTCCAATGATTTTTGATGTGCTCCAAGATGTTGCAAGTTGGTTCGTTTGAGATTCTCATTGATCAGGGCGTTGCCATCATTTTGAACTTGGATGAGAAGAGCCCACATGCCAACACTGTGTCCTGGCTTGAGCAAGAGAATGAACGGGGTGGCAAGGATAGAGAAGTGTATAAAAAAGATGGAACATCCTCTACACATATGCATTGAGGTGGGAAAATCATCTACAGATGGAGATTTTCCATTGTCATGCTTGACTACCGGTGGGTAGACCCAAGGTGAGTTTGCATGAGAGTCACATTCACATTGTCACCCAATTCACACCATGGCCATCGAAGTCGTGAAATCACAATACGGCAAAAACCTTAGCCACAGATTCTAGGACGCAGCTGTGGCAGCAGCACTCCATGGCCCAAATTTGCTTAGTTTGGTTCAATGCATGCTGAATGTACTGCCGTCTATAACTGGTTGGTGGTGACTGGAACATTTGGATTATTTTTCCATATATTGGGAATGTCATCATCCCAACTGACTTTCATATTTTTCAGAGGGGTTGGTATACCACCAAACAGATAAATGTTTACTGTGTATGCTATGTATACCCTCCAGTAAACATAGCCATAGCCTTTTTCGCTAATCCATGAGTTCCCCTTGGAAATGATCGAGATTTTAACATGTGAATATTGCTTTTAAACAAATATTAAAGTGCAATTCAATTTAGTTGTAGTTGTAGTTATAGTTATAGCATGTTATAGTTATTACTTACTAGTTGGAGTTATCAGTTCCAGTTGTAACAACTGTAGTATGTTATGGTTATAATATGTTATAATCATATAATGTAGACACCAATAATAAATATTTTATGGTATGGTGTCTAACCATCTAACCATCTATTCAATAATAACCATCTAACTTATATATGTTGTTATGGTACATATATGCTTAGACACCAAGACTTCACGTACCAAAAAACATGACCGTTGCGCCGAGGTGAGCATCTTTCGAGATGGGGTCAGGGCCTGCAAGCCACGAAAGCTTCCAGAGCCTTGGCACCGAAGGATGAAAAGGATGAAGATCTGGGAGAGTTTCATGATCCATTTGGGTTTGTCTGAAAATGTTGGGTTAATCTTCCCATAGTTTAATAGCCATTTAAAAAGTAGGGATTTTATGATCAGCAAAACCATTGGGTAAAAAGGGGTACACGACATTTTCAGACACACCCATTTTTCTGAATTTCATCAGATCTTGTGGTTGAAATGGTTTAAATTGGAAAGATCCAGTAAAACATCAGCAATTTGATGTTGAATGTGTTAAGGAAAAAACTATTCCACAGGATTCCACAGGTACATGTACATCACCAATAGTTTTTTTCTAATGTGTACTATGTACCTGTGGAATCCTGTGGAAAGGAGCATCCTAAGACTCAGGGCTGTCAGATGACTCATGGCCAGTGGTTTCACGGCTGGTTTCCCCAACGACGATGATCCAACAGTTCGATGGGCTGAACTACCAGGGTACCAGAACAGCAATGCTGTTAGGTCCAGGTGCGTACCTGTACTAGCATGACTAGCATGACATCAATATGCTATAATATATATATATGAGATAATATATATATATACATAACTATATGCATATATATATATATGAGATAATATATATATATATATATATATATACATAACTATATGCATATATATATGAGATATATATATATAGTCCCATTCCATCGTCTCTATTGGTGGTTCATGCATGCTGTAAATCCAGCTATTGACACATGAGAATAGCCGTGGCAGCTGTCAGACAATTCAGCGACAACACCCAGGGCCATGGAGTTGCAGAGCTGAGGGAAAGACTGGCCAAGAAACATCAAATGAAGGGCCTTGGCCTTCAACCAATTATATATTCCTTGATATTCCATATAGGTACATATATATATATCATATTATATCATATTATATTATATTATATCATATTATATCATATTATATTATATTATGTTATGTTATGTTAGTATAGTACAGTACATATATGTACATATATAAATATATATAACTTAGTACCATCCATATATCAAGAGTTTGTCCAGCGATGGATGCGGGCCGCAGCGCTGGTCCGACAGCTCAAATCCTGCAGCTGGTTGGAAGCTCTTCGCATCTACCAGGAGGCCATGGGCCGAGAAGCCGCGCGCGGGCGAACGCGTAGCAAATTTGGGGGCGAACGTTAGCGGAAGTTGGAGAGATTTTCCATGGACTGAAAAGTATCTCACCATGGTTTTACGTCAGTATAACCATGGTATAATCATATAATTTTAGGGACGCAAAACATAGTGGTTCATCAATGTCAATCGTATCTATTCAGTTCGATTAAACATAAGTTAATAAACATAAGCCAAGCATGGCTGCTTAAAACGGCAGAGTCACAGAGTTCAACAGATTTGGACTGGGGGCAGTTCTGTGGACAAAGATGGATTAAGTAATTGCCATTGAATAATCAATAGCAATTACCCCTTTTTGATTATTAACATAGACCCTGAAAATAGCCTAGTTTTAGTGGAAACTATATAATCTTCCAACCCCGATGACTGCCAGGGTCGAATTGTTAATTTACCAGAGGGTACCCCTTTTTGATCGTTTTTGTGGATTTGGCAAAGCAAATGACTTAACCCATTCCCATGTCTTTGGAATGTTGTCGGTTTGGAGATCATGACAATGGATACTGGACCCCAAATGCCTCCTTTAATGGATAAAACATGATAAAGCGGTGAATCGAACATTTACAGGTGCCCCCATAGACAAACCAACATAAATCACCAGTCAGAGCCACTGACACCGCTTACATTCTCAAGTAGATGAAGCCTGAGGTTCACAAAGTCCTTACAGATAGTCTCTAGATATGTGCGTAATCCAAAGCATTTCTGCGTGATCTGGGGATTGTTTGATACGATCATCCAAAATCATCAGTTCACAAAACCATATCCCAGACACGTCATTTTGATTGCTTCAGAATTCAGAATGCTCGTGTAAACCAATGTTCACCTAATCGATGGACCCCCTAGATACTTAATTTGTCTTAGGTTGCTAAAGCATACTATACTTACAAATTCCTTTTAGGCAACAACAAACAAGTAGAACACGATATGTATAGAACTATTGGCTACTGTAGATACTGTTTCTGTAATTAATGGTTTTTCGATAGCCATATATATATATATACATTTATATATATATACATATATATATATATATACATATATAGAGACAATAGAGTAGCAATCATAACTAGGAGGCCCCCTCCTTTCCCACGCCAGGCGGTCAGGCAGCAGGTGGAGCTAAATGTCATCCTTTATGGCGCTGCGATCAGTGCCTGTTTCTTTGTCAATGAAAAGATCTCTGAAAAAAAATATGGTTAGGTCTAGTAGATCTAGTAGCTAAGTCTTGTAAAAATCGTTGCGTTTATTGAATATTGTTTCTTAATATTTAATGGTTTATAATTGGTTTATATATATATACACTGTATATGTGTTGTTTTTGAATATGTCTGACGTTATTCCCACAATAGCTACAATATGAGAGAGAAACACGTCCATCTGTGGGTGATACCTGGGGCTGCAAAGAACGGCCAGAATAGTCAAAATTGAATCTATACTCTCATTCACTGTACTGTAAGTCTATCCATTTTAAAATGCCACTTGGTACCAGCATTCAAGACGTCAAAATCAAAACTGACACTTCCACAAGGGGACAATTTGATTCCATGCCAAGGTCGATTTCTGCAAGTCCTATCCGTCGTATCCGACCTATCCGATGCCAATCCTGCCCAGGTAAGTCTCAATGGCCTGTGGCCCTGTGGCTCCTGGGACGCTTTCAGGATGAGAAGTTGCAAAGTGACGCAGTGCTCTACAGCAACTGCATCAACTCTTGTCGCAAAGGCCCGCAAAGGTATCCCTTGGTGCCTATCGACATCAAAAGGATCATTTCTTGTGAAAGCCTTGATCTTCTCCATCTGCAGGATGGTGCCCCCCAGTTATAAGTTGGTTTATAAACGCCATTAACTATACTTATATCTGCCATAAGCCATAGTTATGGGAGTTATAAACCAACTTAGCTAACTATGGGGCACCACCATCTGAGATTTATATAATTCATACTGCGACTTCGGCCTGTTGCAGTGCAAAGACTCCACTTTTAAGGAATCGGGCACTTTTTAAAGAAACATTCGGACCAAGGAAGCCCCCTTCCTTTTCTTCACGGCATTTCACACTGAACCCAATTTTTTGGATTAAAAACCAGACAAACTGTTTGGTGGTTCCAATCTTTTTTTTTGTTGTTTCAGCTTTGCCGAGAAAAGGAGCTTTTTTTTTGCACCATAAACCGGAACCTGAAGGCACCAATAAACCTGCTGCATAAACCACACCAACCAGTTCATGAAATCCATGACGGTGAGAAAAGGACCATGGAGAAAGGCGATATGTTTCTTGGAAGACTTTGAATCCAAAGAGATTCAATCTGAATCTCGGCTGCAGATTTTTTCATATTTTTTCCATGATGATCCTATGGCTGGCCAAGAATCTTTCAATTCTTTCCCCGGGGGAGTGCAGACATCTGCGGCCAGTTCGTGGTTTGGGCTTGTTTTGGTGATTTTGGATTGCCAGCCAGTATACTAGTTAGTCGATAGTCAGAAATCATTCTAGTTTTGCATGAATCAGTGAATCACATTGGACTGTTCAGGAAAAGGAGCATGGATTGGTGGGAAACGCACCGTCTGCATTGATTATGAACAATGGTGATTGAAATTTCTTCTGCCACATGGGTCCCCCATAAGCCCGGAGACACACAAATTCTGGTGTTTTGCCAAAGTGGATTGGGAAGTGAGCAGACCACCACCACCCATCTTCAAATTACGTATCCTTGATCAGGAGTTCCACTTCCCAAGAAACATGAATTCAATGAATTCCCCATCTGGGTCTCCAAGATGAATAACGGTAGATTCAATACCAAATTTGGGTGTATTTATGCAATGTTCGGAGCGGGTATGCATGGGGGTTGGGTTGTGGGATTATGTCATGGGACCATCTCTCAGCAAGTGCGGAATTACAGCTAAGAATAGTCCCAGATCTGATGTTTGGCCAGGCATTTACAGGAAACCCTTAGAGTATTATAATATATATTATATATAATATATATTATTATATAATATATATTATATTATATTATATTATATTATATTATATTATATTATATATATATTATTATATAATATATATATATATATTATATTATATTATATTATATATAATATATATTATTATATATAATATATATATATATATTATATTATATAATATTATATATATATATATCATTATATATATAATATTATAATAACATATATATAATATTATATATATATATAATATTATATATATGTTATTATAATATTATATATATAATATTATATATATATAATATTATATATATATATGTTATTATAATATAATATATATATAATATTATATATATATATGTTATTATAATATAATATATATATATATTATAATATAGATATCTATTATATATAATATTATATATAAATCTATTATATATATAATATTATATATATATGTTATATTAATTTGATAGTATGTAGATGTACTAAGCATGGGTTTTCTTTGTCGCTTTTCAACAAAGACCACGAAAAACCGCAGGATTTGTTCGTGTACAATGGAGCCCTGGGAGCCCTGGGAGCTTGTGAGGCACAGCGCTGTCCAGGCTGTCCAGGTACCCATCGCGATATCACCGTTGGGATATACCAAGGTGGTGCCATGTGGTGCCCCATAGATAGCGTTCAGTTGGTTTATAACTACAATTTTTGTAGGACTTATGGTAGATATATCATGATATATCTATAGTTGATGGGGGATATATGGTGGATATACCAAGAAACGACGGGGTAAAGTACAGGATGGTGCCCCCCAGTGATGTGAACGTTGGTTTATAAACACCGTTAAATAGTTCGTTATATCTGCCATAAACCATAGTTATGGGAATTATAAACCAACTTAGCTAACTATGGGGCACCACCTTGTAAGTAGCATATCGACAATGTACGCTATTATAACACCTAACTTCACGATATTAGTAAAGCAGCTATTCTGAAATGGGCCAATGGAGGGTCTTCTAGGTCCATGGCTTTCTAAGTTAGCTCCATAAGTTAGGCAGCCAAGAAGCACCGAGAACCGGTTTCAGTAAATCACCACTTTGTTGCTGGTGAAATACATACTTTCTGTAAGTAAATATGTTTGGTTTCCTAAAACAGGGCCTTAACAAAAACCAAGTCATCCATCCAGCTATTAGATGAGGAAATAAACCATGAAATAAACCATCCAGCGATTAGATGGGCCCCGTATTTATGGAAACCCCCAGGGATGAGAATGGGTCAAAACCATCCAGCATCATCCAGCTATGACCATCTGGGTACCATCCGGGTACCAGGATTTTGACCCATAACCATACACTACTTATACCATAGTTTCAGTTGTGGATACCAGCATCATACCAATATTTGCTATTGATAAGTATTAGTAATATAAATATTACCATTATTACTATTATTAATTTATAACATGTTATTATTATGATAGTAGTATTACTAATTATGACATGAATAATGATACTAGTATTGATATAAATATTACATAATATTACTATTATGATATAAATATCACTCTTATGATCTAAATATCAAAATTCATATTAATACTATTTTATTATGAATATGATTACCCCAATAGCTGGATGGTTGATTTCATGGAAATCCATCTATAAATGGAGGTTTCTTGAAATGGGGGTACCCCCAGTCATCATCCGCTTTATTTTCGGATTTTCCAGCAAATAAGCCAACCAGCTATTGGGGATCCCCCATTTATGGAACCCCCCGGATGATGACTGGTGGTACCATTTCAGAAACCCCCCGCTCCAGGTGGCCTGGAGCCACGCCTTGCAGCTCTTCGCGTCCTTGCAGCCGCCGCGCAGACAGCGGCGCGACGCGGTGGCGCTGTCTGCAGCCATCGCTGCAATGGAGAGGCGTTTCGGGTGAAACCACCGTGGGGTTTCACGTGGCAATAATACATCAATGGATTGGTTTAAGGGAAAATCTACAGGAAACCATGGTTTTTACCATCAAATATAGAATTTTCCTGCAAATTTTCCCATCATCCAATTCTATGATACATGGATTTCATCAGGAAAGATATGAACATCACCAGGTAATACATGGATATGGTTATTCATGGATATTGTAGAGGAATACATAACCACCATCACCAGGAAACATAACCACCCCCAGGGAAATGAGGAATACATGGATATTGAATTGAAAAGTTGAGTTTTCACCAGATCATCTCAGATCAGACAGATTTGGGAAATATTTATTACCGACATTTGCTCAAAAAACATCTTCCATTCGTGGAGATTTTTGTGCATCATTCATAGAAATCTGTAGTCTGTTTGCAATGCTCGAACTTCAGCTGGTTGAGCCAACCGCATTATTTATAGCCGGTTGGTGGTTGAGCCCTACCCCTCTGAAAAATATGAGTTCGTCAATTGGGATGATGACATTCCCAATATATGGAAAAATAATCCAAATGTTCCAAACCACCAACCAGATAGGCTTTCTACCATCCTTTTGGTGGTGCAGGATTTCGCAACCATCCACTGTATGTTAGTAATATGTTAGTATAGACATGGGGGTTGAATTAAAATGGGGGATGCCCAGTCGTCACCAAAGGTGAAGCTATACTAGACTGGTCGTTCATTCCTTGGATGATTTGGGGGGACCCCTACTGTAGGAAACCTCCATATGTTGGTATACAGTATATTGGTATATTTAGTTGGTCTATGTGGGTATATGTTTCGATATGTTGAGACCTGTTGGGATATGTTGGGATAATCTTCCCAAGAAGGACTGGACCATTGAACAATGACATGATTTAAGACGATTCCCTAGTTTGGCTGCACTAAAGAGCTACATCTGCATCATGAGTTGATATCATCTAGCCTCATCCAGCTGAACCACCTATCAGCCAGGTGCAGCCAGTGGCAAAGTATCCTGGCTCTTCTCTTCGAGGCCGCCAGCACAACCTGGTGATTGTGGTTTCTTAAAATACTTGTTTCAATGGATTGGTTCAAGAAAAAATCTACAGGAAACCATAGATTTTCCCATGAAATATGGTACTTTCCTGTAATTTTTCCCTTAAACCAATCCATTGATTGTTGAGCTTTTTTTTTAATAACTCATGGTGTTTCGAACAAAAACAACTAATTATACAATTTTAAAATGGTCATTTTATGATCCAAAACGGTGATTCAATGGGATTTTACTGGGATTGAAGGAACGATGAAATGGTGATTTATCCCATGAAAACTTGGTGATTTAGGAACAACAATGGTGATTGTTGCTGCAATTTTCATGGAAATACCATGAGGATAGAATGGGATCCAACTAACTAAACAAATGGATTGGGCAAACCATGGCTGTCATAAACAAGGGAAGGTCCCCTCCTAGGCGTCGTGCGTTTTTGAACACACAACGCCTTTAAAACCTGCATTTCGTGAATGTTTTAAAAATGCATCTTCCAAGAGGGGTCTCCGAAGTAACTTTTTTTAACCTCATCGCGCATACATTGATTTCAAAGCTTTGGACAGGTGTGAGACACAGTCGTTCTTTTCTTGAGATCGCCACTGCATATATATATATACATATTGTAAGTGGGGTAGCTCCACTACTGTCACCACCGGGCTCCACCTGAAGCGCTCAGCTTTTCCTCCACTGCCAGCTGAGATTCTTGGTTGGACGGCCTCGTCCACTTATTTGCAAAGCGACCCTGTCGCTTATGTAGTCCACTATGGCTGGAAGACACTCGAAAGAAACCCTCACCGCCCACCTCTGGGCTCGCCTGAGCCACGTGTCTGACGGCCACAGGCTGGTATCTTGGGACCTCCAGTGACAGAGAGACTGTTGGTTTCATGGGTGTTATGATGGCTTAAGGAGAGGATTATTGTTATCATCAGCTGCTAATTTGAGAATCACACTCCCAAATTTTCTTTTTCTGAATTTATCGTGGATTGCTGATGATCTTGGCCTTTCAGCCAGCGTATTCTGTCTTTGGTCTTTGCTCTTTCCTTGAGGATTGCTGTTTCATCACTGAGTTTGTAACTGCCTAATCTTAAGGTCTCACGAAGAAAATAGCTCTCCATCGCTTTGGTGAAGCAGTCTGCCAATTGAGCACCTGAGTGCACCCAACGCAACTGGATCCCCTCAAGAAGGGCTTCTTTCACGGCTCGAGCAGCCAATTGAACCCTGAACTCCGCGCAAGATGGTGGAGCTGTCCTTGTCGTGAGATCAAAAAGGCTTTTGCAGTCTGTGATGGCTAGATCGGCATGTTCTCTGAAAGTGGCAGTGGTGATGGCTGGTGCAATTTTCATGAGTGCTGTTTCTGGCTCCTTCCAATTTGTTTTGGGTTCATGGATCCAGGACCAAAAGAGTCTCAACCAAGCTAATTGATCTACTGCGGAGGCCAGGGCCGTGGTCTCGGCAGCCAAGGTACTTGTCACAACCCGCTGAATCTTTTTACAACCCCAAGAAATGGGACTGATGGGACATTGTTTGTTCAGGGCTACATCCTTATGAGTACCAACTATGATTAAACCCGCATGAGAATCAGGCTTCTTGGCTGATGAGAATGACGCGTCGCTAAATGCCATGAATCGGAAATCGTCAACTGAAATGGGTCTGATCACAATTGCAACATCATGATGTTTCTTTGCTTCATGGAGGAGTCGATTGGCTTCATGGAGTGTTTCGATCTTGGCGGTGTTAATGGAAGATTGTAAAAAGGAAAGTTTACTGGCAATGTCAGGACGTGTATTGGTTGCTGCATACTGTAGGCTCCCCACTATTCCCCTTAAGGCTAGTCTTTCCTTTTCAGTCACAGGAGAATCATGTTGAGTCTTTCGATTACAGTCCATGATGATGGGGTTGATTTTCTTGATATATTGACTTTGACTCAAATGGATACTGTTGTCTCCTCTTTGAGTTACTTCTACCCCTGTGAAGGTGAACGCACTGGTTTTGTGAGATCCAAATTTGAACTTTTTCTCGAGTTCCTTGATCTTTTCTTCATACAATTTGTTACCCCCTCCAATCCCGTCATCAACATGCACTCCGAGAATGCCAGCAATTTTGCCAGCTTGGCTGCTGGTGGCTGGTTCCCTTAAGACAAACAGGCATGGATCAAAAGGTGATGCTTCGAATCCCAGTTTGGTTAACTCGGTTACCAGAGAGCAAAACCATAAAAAGGGTGCATCTACCAAACCATAAGCACTTTTGTTCAGCTTGGCAACATGTTGGGGACCAAGGTTCATGATTTGTCGAAGCTCTGGAACTGGATCCACAGCCATCGTGCGATCAGACTGGGGCTTGCCTTGTAGGAATGCTGCCTTCACATCAAATGACTGGAGTTGCCATCCGCAACTGGCAATGACCTGTAAAAGGATCATCCTGGAGGTACGATTAAGAGTTGGTGAATCCCTGGGAATTTCCTCCAAGTTAGGATCAAGGTATCCCAATACTACGAGGCGTGCCTTGGCCTTGTGGGTCTTGACTTGTTTTTGGTTACTCTTACCATGGTCTTCTCCGGTGTGATCAAGAGGTTTCCAGGTCAATATCCAGCGGCAGCGTAAAATTTGATCCTCAGGGATCTGATTGCGAAGCACCTTGGAGACGGTGCCTGTCTGAACCCAGCTCTGCACTTCTGCCATTTTGGCCGCTTGGAACTCTGCCTTTTCTTCAGGTGAAAGTTCTGTCAGACGAACTTCAGAGCGCTGCTTTTTGGCATTCGTGGCCAACAGGGTCCAAGCTTCTTCTTGGTTTTCAGGCAGCCCTTGGTGATCTGAAAGGGGAACATCGAATTCACATCGCCATGCAGAGTCCTGGCTTTCTCGAGCTGTCAGACACCAGTCTACATCGGTACACGTCAGGGCCTCGGTGGTCGAGGATTGTTCCGGATGGTCCATCACTTCTGGCATGATAGATCCCTGTCGAGATAGGTCAGGTTCTTGGTCAGGCTGTGGCAAGGATTGCGGTGAGTTGGATGTCCCATTGTTATCTTCACTCATGACTTCATTATCAGGGAGGTTATTGTTATCAGAAGAAATGAGGTTATCAGGATTATGTTCAGGACCATTTTCTGGGGGAATTTCGGCAGTTTCGGATGTGGAACCAAGTGATCTTCGATTATTGATATTGGTGATCTGTTGTCCAAGTTCGGTTAGATTGTCAGGCCATGTTTCAGGACACTCCGGCATCTCTTGGCTTAGCACTGGACGCACATGTTCAGGGGCACTGCGGTAGAGTTTGGCACATTGGGTGGTCCAAACAGTATGGTTACCGTCCTGTATGATGACACGTTGTGGTCCAATCCAGCCTGATTTCTGAGGCAGTTCTCCACGCCAAATCATTACCCATTGTCCCTTCTCATACATACCTCTGTGGGGACAGGCTCTGCGGAGGATGGCACGGCGAAGGCTGTCATTGTTGTCGGCATCATGGAAAGCTTTCCGGGCACTTTCTCTGATATGGAGCATCTTCTTGAATTCCAACACACCAACATGATGATCTTCTTGGGATGCTATTTCATGGGATGGTATGGATTCATCGCTCAATATGGATCCTGGAATTCTTGAATGTTTTCCGAATACGATTATTTCGTGGGCATATCCATGACGAATGCTCAAACTGTTCTTTGCATGGGTACTTTGGCTGAGGGCAAGTTGGAGTGTATGATAATCGTTGATCGGATGTTGAAGGTCAATCTTGGTAAGCATGTGTTGGATGAATTTTCCATGACGCTCCACTTTGCCATTTTGCCAATGAGCCATGGGACATGTCGTGCTTCCCTTAATGCCAAAACGCTGTAGAAAAGCTGCAAACTCTTCGCTGTTCAGTTCAGTTCCGGAATCCACCTGAAGCTCAGTCGGTGGACCTGCCCAGCTCATCCAATGCTGACTGAGAACATTGATGATATCCTGAGTGGTCTTTGCAGGAGTGGCAATGGCAACATGAAAGTTTGAACCGGCATCTACAATGTGGTAAAATTGGAGTGACTTACCCTGGGAGTTGGTCCAATTTACCCCATCTAGATAGATACGATGATTGAAGTCAAGCATTGGTTTCAGTGTTGCAGGTCGTTGATGCTTCGGCGGGGAACACTTGGAACATATTTGGCATTTCAGTTCCAGAGCCGCTTGCGAGACATCTGGTCGATAACCTGCCGTTTGCAATGCTCTGGATAGTCGCTCATTGGAGGGATGGCCCAGATTCTTGTGCATATGGATTATCTGCTGCTGCTCCCACTTTGGCAAACTGCGGAACCGAAAGGTCTGATCCATGAGCCTAGTTTGCATTTGGTCGCCAGGTGTCTCAGGTTCGGAGGCTTTTACCTCCGTCGTGGTGTCAGAGGCTGGCCTGTCACTGTCTGGCATCGGCGGCGTTTCATGCAAAACAGCTGGGCTTACTTGAGGCTGAGGCATGGGCACATTCTCTGGTGACGGACCGGAGCTAGAAGCACTGGCTGTCATATCTTTGGCAAATACTGTGATATTGATGCGACATGGGTGTGCTGGCCTTACTAATTGTCTATTAGATAAGGAGGTCCATCTTTCCCAGTACCTTTCATACTTGATGTCCTGTGTTGCACGGTGCAGCATGATGGTCCTTCGATATGGTGCTTCATCTCCTGTTAAGTCCGATGGCGGACCCAGTGTGCGATCTGTACCTCTGCATGCCAAAATTCGGACAATCGTTTTGTCAGGGAGCAGTTCTTGAATCAGCTTGCATGTGGGTGGATGAACAATTTCCTGCTTACCTACCCTTTTGAGTTGATTGTCAATAGTTTTCATCAATTCCTGAAACTGTTCAAGACATGGTGGGCAGCTTTGCTTGCCATCTAAACGACGTCTCTTGGCCTCCTGTTCGGGTCGGCTTTCAGGAGTCACCAATTCAGAACGGACAAAGGTTGGTCTCTGTCTACGGGCTAGGGCTGCAAATGCACTGGTGTCATCCTGACG